TTGTGTTTCTCAACTTTTCTTAAACAGTCTTCCTTTCGAAGAGTGGAAGCAGTTTATATGACAGGTTGTATTTGGGTCAGGATTTCAGTTTGGCTCCAGAGCCTACACTTGACCCAGTCTCCTGGTTGTTCCTGTGTACTGTGCTTCGATTTACACCACGGGGTGGTTTTGGAGCACACAAGCTGGTCTACTTTTTGGTGAAAGTAAATTGAAAGATATGATCTCAATGCTGATAAGCATTCAGTCCACTGGGCTGGAGCAGGGCTAGTCTGAAACATTAAAAATAATGTCTCCTTCCCTCCCCCCAAATGTGTGTAGTACCAACATCAGTACTGAATTTTGGTGAGTAGTTGGGTGATGAGTAAATGGAGACCACGGTGGTGCAGATTGTCCCCTTGTAGCCCATGGAGAGCCACAGTGGAGCAGGTATCCACACTGCAGCCTGTGGGGGACTCCATGCTGAAACAGGTGGACATACCTAGAAGGAAGCTGCAGCCCATGGAGAGCCCATGCTTGAGCAGCGTTTTCCTGAAGGCCTAGCAGCCCATGGAGAGGACCCATGCTGGGGCAGGGAAAAAGTGTGAGGAGCTATTATAGACTGACAATAACCCCCCATTCCCCATCTTCACCAAAATTTCTTCACCAAAAGGGTTGTCAGGCATTGGAATAAGCTGCTCAGGGAAGTCGTTGAGTCGCCATCCCTGCCGGTATTTAAAAGACATGTAGATGTGGAGCTTAGGGACATGGTTTAGTGGTGGACTTGGTAGTGTTAGGTTAATTGTTGGACTCAGTGATCTTAAGGGTCTTTTCCAACTGAAATTATTCTTTCTCCCCTGCGGAGAAGCAGGGAAAAAGAGGAGTTGGGAACGAAGAAGTGAAGTTGGATCTGGGAAGAAGGGGTAGTGTAGGGAGAAGGTGTTTTAGTTCTTGTCTTTCTCACCATCCTCTTTTGTTTTTAATTGGCTATAAATTTAATTTTCCCCAAGTCAAGTCTGCTTTTCCTGTGATGGTAATTGGTAAGTGATTTCAGTTTTATCTCAGCCTACAAGCTTTTTTATTTTATTTTCACTCCCTGTCCTGTTCAGGAGGGAGAGCGAGAGAGCAACTGGGTGGGCGGCTGGCAGCCAGCCAAGGTCAACCCACCACACTTGTGTGTACCTATAATATCTAGTTCAACTTTAAAAAAAAAAAAAAAATCCTTCAACGTTTTCTAAAACATACGATTAATTTAAATAGTTAATTTTATATGTATTATGAACATGAATAAGAGTTAGCTATCACATTTTGTGATCCAGTAGTAGCACCTTGTTTTACCATCTTTTTTTAGCAGATGAAGTTAAAACTCCTTCTTAGTCCACTGTCACCAGAGGCGTACAAATCTACTTCTCCCTCCAGATTTCTAGTGCAGTGGTTAAACGTTCTGTAACAGGATTACTTGCCTGCTCCTGCCCTGCAATGCTTTGTTTGTCATGCCAGCAGTGTTGTGCAGCACCACAAAGAATGGGATTTGGAAACCAATCCAGCTAAATATTTTTCCTCCTGGCTGTTTTCCAGCTGGGTATGTTTCTTGATCCAGTTTACAGCTCAGCTCTACAAAAAGCTTTTGCTGGCATAATGGAAAGAATGGAGTAGCATGGTCAGGTGAGGCATGCACTGAAGTGGGTGTTGCTGCTAGAAACATGTGTCAGGGAATGGATGAAGAAAGGCTGTATCTATCGGGGTGGTGTTTAGGGATCTATGAGATAGAGATGTGACTCCCTCCATCAGAGACTCCAAATACAGACATGCACTGTTCTCTTAAGTCCCAGCCACTATAGTCAGTAAAAAGACTTTTGTGTCAAGTATCTTTGTATATTTTTTTCTTGATTTTTCCTGAGGAAAATTTTCTGAGTTTTTCCACAGCAGCTTTTGCCTCACTGGCTAGAAATGTTTAGTTTTTAAGTTTACTGTGAGATGACCTAGTTCTGTATTGTATGACTTCTGATTATACCTCTCTTTTGCCCTCTTTTCTGCTGCTTAAACAAATTGAAGAATCCTGCAGCACCCAATTCCTTGGTCCTTTTACATCCAGAATAAATGTGATCCTTGGCAAGCTGTCTTCCCTGAAGCTCAGCAACTGTTAAAAAAAAAAAAAAAAAAAATCCAAAGATGTGTAACTTCTCTATGTGAAATACCAATTTAGCAATCAATTAAAAAAACCAAAACACCACCCCTCAACCCCAAGCACCATAAGTAGTTAGACTTTTTAAGCAAGGCAACAAAACCCTAACAGGTTATCTGAATCCTTTTAATGCACCAGCTCTTGAAGACTACCAAAAAAACCAAAAAAGTAAAATGGTTCAATACAATTCATAGCAGTAGAGGCAGCCACCATGAGATCATAGCTAAGTACTGTCTTTTTGAGTATTACAGGTAATCAACAGATACCGGACATCAAAGTCTCAGTGTACATAACAAGAAAGATAGCTTCTTGATGTTAACCCTCTGTTGATGGAGTTGTGTGTGGAGAGAAAATGTATGGGTGATTTCCAAGTTCTTGTTTTGTAGAAAAATAGCATTTTTTAGTTGGTTTTACCAGGCAGCAAATACTTTTTAAATATAGGAAGTTAGTTAAAAAGAATGATTATGGTATATGAGGTGTGTTTTCTGGCAGTTGGAGTTGGCAAATAATGTTACCGTCTGTGCCAGACCTTCAAAATTTCAGCACAGACTTTGTGGTCAAGGTATGGATGCCATGTTAGTCATGAAACATTCAGGAATTACAGTGATCATTTAGTATAATGTCAGCAGTTTCAGGGGTTTTGTTGTCACCAAAGGCTATCTTTGCCCTGAAGAGCTGCTCAGATCTCTGTGGTGCTATGTGCAGTCTTTGCTCCAAATGTGTGGCCTTTTCCAGCCTTAACTAAATATTTATTCCAATGTTCATGCATCAGGAAAATTTTTAATCGTGAGGCCAGAAATCTTCCTGAATACATGTATAATCAAGGCTGGAAGAGAGTGGACTGAGAAGTTTTCTTGGTTAGGAGAAATGAACACGGGATGATTTTGCTGGCATTCAGAGGGACCTTGACAGGCTGGAGAAATGGGCCAACAGGAATCTCATGTAATTCAACAAAGGGAAAGGCTGAGTTCTGCACCTGAGGAGGAGTAACCCCTGCACCAGTACAAGCTGAGAACAACTGGTTGGAAAGCAGTTTTGCAGGAAAGGACCTGGGGTCCCAGTGGACAACCAACTGACCAAGAGCCAGCAATGTGCCCTTTTGGCAATGAAGGGCAGTGGTAGCCTGGGCTGTGTTAGGAGTAGTGTTACTGGCAGGTTGAAGGAGGTGATCCTTCCCCTCTGCTCAGTACTGGTGAGGCCACACCTGGAGTGCTGGGTCAAGTTCTGCACTCCCCAGCGTGAGAGAGACATGCACATATTGAGTGTGTCAAGCAAAGGGCTGCAAATATGTTTTAAGGGATCTTAAGGCATCTGGTATGGGGAGAGGCTGAGGGATCTGGTGTTTAGCCTGCAGAAAAGAAGGCTCAGGGGGATCTGAAAAGTGTATATAAATACCTGATGGAGGTTGTAAAGAGGATGGAGCCAGGCTGTTGTGAGTGGTGTCAAGTGACAGGACAAGAGGCAATGGGCACAAATTGAAATACAGCAATTTCCACTTAAGCTATAGGGATGATTGAACATTGGAACAGGCTGCGTTGTGGAGTTTGTATTCTTGGCGGTGCTCCAAACCTGACTGGATATGGTCGTGGGCAGCTAGCTTTAGTTTACCCTGCTTTGAACAGTGGTGGTTGGAGTGGACAATCTCCAGAGGTTACTTCCAACCTCAGCTATTACACGATTCTGTGAAATGATCAGACAAAAAGGCATTTTCTCCTTCAGTTTTGCCTCTCCAACTGTTGGGTTTTTTTCACTGCAGGTGGCTCAGCTGTTGGACACAAGTGACTAATAGATTTATGGTGAATTTGGCAGTCGTTTCAAAAAGCATCCCTTCTGGAGGGGACAAAAACTGTTCTTTTTCCTCACTAATTTCAGAGTGATCTGGGTTTTTTGGCTGTTTTTTTTAAGGGTGAGCGAATGGGAAAATTCTGTGTTACTCCAACCTTTTAGTTAGTGCTCATTTTTATCTTGTACTACAGACTGTATGCCAGTGCGTGTCTCTTCTGTTGCTCAATTTTTTCTAAATGGCAGCAGAATTTCATTTTTTTTTTAAAAGAAACTTGTGGCTGTTCCCTGTATTCAGAATGCATAGATGGAAACTGCCTGTAACTGATCACTTTCACTCTGCTGTAGCTTGGCAAAGCTGTAGGAGTAAGTAGTCTTGAGAACTCAGTTTTTGTGGAAGGCTGGGCAAAGCACATGCTGGTGGGTTACATCCGGTCTGTCTTTGGCACATTCTTTTCGAAAAAAACCAACATGTAAAGCAGTAAAACGCTTCAAAAATGGTAACAGATTTTCATGAAGCTAATGGCATCTATCCAAGAAAGCTTAATTTTTTTCCTATATAAAAAAGAATAGAAATAAGCACTTATATTTTCCACTGTAGAAAATATGTTAAGTCAAACCAATGATTTTCAAACTGTCACTCACAGTTGAACACAGTAGCCTTTGTGGTATGTGTTGATAGTCTTAATCCAGAGATAAAATTCCAGATTGCTGGTATATTTTGATGTATGCATTTCTGACCCTTTAACTTGTAGTTAAAGGATTTCTCATTTTCTTTCTCTGATTTGTGTAGATGGAAAAAAACAAACGTTGCTTTCTCAGCTTTTTGAGCTGAGAAAAGATAGAACATTTCAGGAACAGACTGACAACTGGAGATATGAGGCGAAGTCCATTATTTCCCCCCCCCAGTCATATAGGCTGGTAGGGTATCAACAGCAGCCTTTCTTTATTGTTACCTTTTTAGTATATGGTTTCAAATTATAATGGTGTGCAACAGAAATCTGTGTAGTGATGTAGCAAAGTTGTTAGTCTTTTTTTTTTCTTTTTCTCCCCACAGGTATCAAGCATGATGGGACTATGTGTGATACTTGTCGGCAGCAACCCATCATTGGCATCCGATGGAAATGTGCTGAATGCACAAATTATGACTTGTGCACAGTTTGCTATCATGGGGACAAACATCACTTGAGGCATCGTTTTTACAGAATTACCACACCAGGAAGTGAAAGGTAAAATGTAATTTTTTTCCCCACAAAATTAAATAGGAACAGTTAATTGTGGTTAAGTTTTAAACTGCAGATTTGGTTACTGAAACTTGAATTTGGTAAGATAGTGGCTTGAGGTGTAGATTCTATTACTGATTCTGCCTCTTTGTGAGGGAGGGTAGCTAGGACATATTGCTGGACCTTGGAATACATGAAAATTCTAGAAAGAATGGAGTAGAGAAAAAAGTTAGGATATGATTATTCAATTTCTTTTAATGTCATTGCAGTCTTCCTAGTTCTTGTGTTATCATATAGCAGCTTTAAAAGAAAGGCAATTATCTTTACACAGTGTATAATCACAAAATGTTTTGTCAATGAATTCCTGAATGTGAAAGTTTAATTAGGTTCAAAAATGGTGTAGACAGATTGAGGGAAAATACCCTCCTTGTGGGCTATGAAGACCAGAATGACCTGGAGACAAAAACTTTCACTTGAACTGCTTAACCTGCTTACCACAGAAAGCAGAGAAAAGATGCTGTGAAGGGTTGTTCCACCCTTGCCTTGGTTTTCATGTTCTTTTCTTAAGCATCTGTTATTGTCTCCCAGCGAAGACCTCTGAACAAAATTGGCATTTAGTGTGTTCTTGCATAGCTGTTCTTGTCTTTAAATAACTGTCTAAATCCAAAGCCCTTCACCGTCATGATTTATCTACTAGTTAAGTGAGAACAGTGGTATTTGCCTGTTACTAAATACTCTGAGAGCTACAGTAAAGCGTTGTGTAAAGGCCACATGCTGTGGTATCACCTCTGTGATTTCTCCAGAATGTTCTTTCATCAAATCAAAAATTGGAAGCTTTTTTTGTTAGATATGATACTCCGTTAAATGCAACGTGTGTAAGACAACATTTATTTCCTCCTCTTGGAGAAGTAAGGTTTACAAATGCGTTGTAATTCAGTGATGTGCTCTCATCAGTGCTTTTACAGTTAGGGGAAGTGGTTGGAGCACACAAACCAAGTTCTCGTATTGTCTTGTAGGGACTGGGTTTATTTTCTCAAATGTTTGCCTTGAAGTTTAGCTATGGCTCAAATGCTCAGATCAGTGGCTTAATCAAAAAGTAACTTCTGTTTTCTTGAGATTCATGCCAGCAGATCTAGGTACCAAATAGATATCATGAGCTTAGTGTAATGTGTAATGCAGAACAAGATTTACAAGTTGGATGCAAGAGTAGAAAGTGCTGGCTTAGTGTAATTAATAGAGAATAGCTAACAAAATACAAATCTGTTTTTCTATTTATTTCTTTTTAAAAAATCTCATTGCTTCTGAGAATGCTTGCCAGACTTTTTTTCTTCTATATTTTTTTTTAGCTGAAGTTTCCTTTGTAGTTTCAAGTGGTCTGTTATGGTGTATAAAGCATAAGTCTTATTTTTGGAGATAGATTGTACACAATGTATAGAATTGCAGGAACTGTCTTGCATCTTGTCACTTTCTCCCTATCTTTGTTTACTCCCATTGAGCTCTGTTTTGCAACTCTTATCTAGAAGGCAGCTTCGTGTGCCAAGGAACTGTTTCTATTGGGTCAAGCTTAGCTGAGAAAAATTGATTAAAGTTAACTGTTTGAGGGAGGAGAAAAAGGCAAACCAGTGGTATTGAATTTGAGGGATATCTCATAGGAAAAATAGCAAGAAGCATCTAAGAACGTTTGGATGAAGGAAAGCATAAGGTCTACCTATCTTATTCTTGAGTCTGGGATGTCATATGGGCAGCATACCAAAGTAATGTATGCTGGTTTTGTCTCAGTTTTGTAGGTGTTGAGAACTTTCTAAAATGCTGCTATAAACAACATATCTTTGTGTTTTATATCACTCTTTTATATTAATTGGATAAAAATGGCTAATTATGTTCATGTGCTCTTTGCATTGATTCTAACAGTTTAACTTTTTCCTTGTCTGCCATCTGCTGGATGTTAAAAGTTTAGCAGGAGGGTGATACACTTCCTCAAGAGGTCAGGAAACATTCAGAATTTCAGCTGAAAAATACTTTTGTCTGGTAACATTTTCCTGGCATGAAGTAAGAAACCTGGTTGCATGCAAACTAGTGGCTTTTGAGATGACTAAAAAGGCAGGAAAATGTTTTTCTCTTTGTTTCTATTTGTAAGTTAAATACTTGTGAACTGTTCTGTTTGGGCTTATCTACTTTAGTTCTGTTGAAGTCGGAGGGAAAGAAGAGGTTTGCTTTAGAAAAATAACATATTATGACTGAAAAAATGGATGCTGATATATTGACTTAAATTTGCCAAGATATGCTATAAGAAGTATGTAGAAAATAAACAGACGTGGAGGGGAAAGAGATGTAGCTCTTACTTAATAGCATAATTCTGAATAAAAATGGCAGGGCAATTGCAGGGCAATAATATTGGCCTAGGGTGCATCTAAGAGAAACAGAAATGTGTTGCTTATATGACTCTCTCTGTTTCTTTAATGATTTCAATAATAGTACAGATCTATATGTAAGTGGTTACAAGATTATTGCTGGTAGTAGGAACTTTGGAGAAGAATTATCATTAGAATTAAACACTAATTATGAACATACAATAAAGCAGACTTAGGAAGATCATGGTTTTTTATCTTGTGGGCTGCTGTTCAAGTTGAGAATTGAATGGATGCGATTCATGGACTGAAATCTGTGTTTGTGGGGTTATTTTTGTTTCAAGATGCTATCCTTCCTTCCCATCCCCAAAGATTAATTTTGGACTTTCTTTATTATCTTGACATTTGTGGGTTCTTCTCTTAATAACTTCAGGGTATTGTTGGAGTCTCGCCGTAAATCAAAGAAAATTACAGCAAGAGGAATCTTTGCAGGTGCCAGGGTGGTGCGAGGAGTTGACTGGCAATGGGAAGATCAGGATGGTGGCAACGGGCGTAGAGGAAAGGTAAAAATAAAACTGGTTTAAATAAGAAGATGCATTTCTGCGTGCTCATGTAATGGCCTCATTGGCCTTTCTAATTTTAGTGTAAAGATATCATCATAAAAGTTACTATTTTAATTTGCTGGATGTTTTTTAATCTTATTCTGTAATGCTCAACCATTTAGAAGGAGGAAGGGATGTATACTGTGACCAGTTCTTTTAAATGTAAATTTGCATTTTTACAATACCAGCAAAAATTTCTAAAACTACTGAATTTTTGTCTTGGTTGTTTTGTTTAAGGCTGGCTTGTAACGGCATTGAGATCTTGGGCATATTTTGACATTACTAGAGAGCTGATATAAAAACAGAGCTCTCAAGAATAGCCCTTTCTGGTCATCACTGTATTCTGTAGTCTTATTGCTTGTGGGTCAGCACATTTGTGTATCTCTTGCTCTTGGTTTTCAGTGCTTGCATTCTGGATTTTTGTTTTTCACCTAATAATTTCAGGGACTTCTCCAGTTTAAAATAAAAAATTTTGCAAGTGTGGGATGTGGATATTATATTGCTGGCTTGGGACATTATATGAGTGTTTTTGATATAGTTGTATTAAAAAACTATTTGGATTTATTGAAAATTGCATGGAATGATATGTTGCTATCATAACCTTTGCAAATTTTTCCATTTGCAACTTACATTTACCTTCAGAACTAACAAAGGTTTGTTATAAGTATGAACATACAACAGGGAATGTGAAATATACTATGACTTCTATCACCAAATATGAGATGTTCTAGAAGGAGAATTGCATGCCCTTCTATCTTGGTGAACTGGTGTTTTTTTGTTGCATTTATTTTTAGCACACTTAAGCAGCATTTAAAAGAAAGCGAAAACTTCCTGAATAAGATATTTAGCCTATTTTATATCCTAGACATTTATGGAAGCTTTAGGACTTTGGGGGATTTCATTTTGGATTTTATTGAGAGGAAATAATGAATTAAATCTCTTAAAGCAAGGGATATTCAGAAGCAGCTTTTTTCCTCTTGATTATTTACCCCTTGCTGTGAATTTGGCAAGATATTTTGAAATCTCTGAAAGTTTGCAAAATAAGAGTCTTATCCTGCATTGTCTGTTTTATGTACTAAACTTGAATTAGTGGGATTATTTGCAAGCTGAAAATATGTATAGATGAATATAAATGCTCTCAATGAGGAAAAGCAGATGGTACATAGCAGAAACAGCTTTTATATAAATACAAATAAAAATTAAGATAAATTCTGGAAATTGATTTTTTTTTTTTAATAATGGAAGTGTTTTCAGAATGTGGTGCATAGCCTCATGATTTCAGAAATGTCAGAGAAGGTCCTTTTCACTTCTTTTGTACTGTTGTTAAACAGATTGGCTCTGGAAATAAAACTTTGTCTCCTAACGTAGTGCACTGCCACCAGGCCAATGCAAGTTAAACCAGACAAATTGAAGCAATTAAAATAGTTTTCATCCTGTTTTTTCTTAGTTAAATGCTGCTTCTAGTAAGAACATGTCAAAGTATCATAAATAAAGTTTTACAGTTCAGATTTTGTTCTCTACTTACATAGTTAGATCACCTACCAGATATACAAAAGAAAAATAGGCCTACAAAGTATATATTCAGGCTGCCATCTTAAGACACCTAGAGAACACTTGTGTCATACAGAAAACAACTTCAGAATAAATTTTATTAAATGCAGTAAAACTGCTGTATCCTGAATTATTCGAAAGCAATGAATGAGGGTTTAATTTCAAATTGTGCTTCTAAGTCTTTGTTCTAGAAACAATTTTCTTATTTTTAAAAATGAATAGGTAACTGAAATCCAAGATTGGAGTGCATCGAGTCCACATAGTGCAGCATATGTTCTTTGGGACAATGGTGCTAAAAACCTTTACAGAGTTGGCTTTGAGGGCATGGTAAGTATAAAAGAACACAAAGGGTAAAATGCATGGTGGGGGAAGGGTAGTCAGAATAACTTGTTGTGCTTTATTATTCTGCTTTTGGAATATCCTTTGTCAGTTTGCATGCTGTTAGTCAGGTCATTGTGAATACAGCTGTATGGATCATGCATATGTATTAGGAAGAAAGCCTGATCTGGGAATTTATAAAACATGTGAATAATTAAAGGGCTGGTTTCTGCCAAAGTATAGTAAATGTTTACATCCCATACATGATTATCTTAGTGTGCTACTATTGTGCTTAAAGTAAAATTCAGAAGAGGAAAAGAAGCTTAGTTACAAACTTTTTAAAGACCCTAGTTCTTTAACTCCTGATGTTTTCAGTTCACTTCGAATTTTGGTGTGATTACTGCAAGATTTGCAGTTCTTAAATTACTGGCAACACTCAGAATCCTCTTGAGAGCAATTTTTTTGTCAATGGAAAGGTGTTGAATTCAGTTACAACCTTAATTTGCTTTAGCACTAAATTTTTCTTTTTCACTTCCTAGCTTCTACAGCTTTAGAGAGAAAATGGGTCAAACTCTAGCCTAAGTGCCTTCTGTTGCTGGGTTTTCTTATCCTAATGTGGGTCAGGGGAAGGTTACTTTGATTATCAACTGCTTATAACATCTTAATTAGCATTTTATTTGCATGATTTTTGTTTGATACTGTGGAGGAAAACCATGTTAACCTAACATTGACATCAGATGTGTATCAGTAATAAAATGTTAAACAATGACTAGTCTACTTTTTTGAAAGTAAAATATTTTGCCTGATAGCCTCACTTGAAATAAAGTTTATTTTTATAATAAAAAATAAATACTACATACCACTGCAGTAAATACGTATTTTAGTGTCAGGTTTAAAAAGACTAAACACCTTTAGTGCAGGTCAGTTTTTCTGATGAGTAAAGATTCTAAAGATAAAATGTAAGTCAGTGTTGAATTAGGTGCTTCATGGTCCCCCCCCAGTTCTAAAGAAAATTCCTTATATACTGGCAAAAGGGAAAGGAATTTATATTCAGTATTATGTTATTGAACCAATGGTTGGTGTCTTCCCCCTTATATTTGATAGTGATGCATGGAAAAGGAAGACAATTACAAAATCTAGATAGGCGGAGATACAGATCAACTGATTTTTTTTTTTGTGTATGTGTTGTGATTTCAGTTACTATGTTAAAATTTGTGGACTGCATAGTAGCAGTGCTGTGGAATCATTAAAGATTCCTTCTGGTCTCAGAAAAAATACATGTAAGAAGTTATATGCTGTTCTGAAATAGTTATTCCCTTAATAATAAAAATATATTTATTATTTGTAAATCAACTATATTCTGTTGCCAAACTATAGCCACATAAAGAAGTGTTAAATATTTGTAGGATACTTGGTTAACTATTGCAACTGTAAATTTCAATGGATAAGTGTGACCCTTCCCACAAGATTTGTACAAATAGAAATATTTGGTCAGTCATTTAATTAACAACAAAAAACTGTTAAAATGTGTGTGAAACTACATATATGCAAATATATTATACATATAGGATAATACATAAATAATATATGTACACACATATGTATAAAAAGGATAATTTGAGGCTCTATATGCAGTGCTTACCTGATTGTAATCAATTCTTACAATAATTTTATGTTTGTTGGATACTTTTATCAAATGCAATTTTCACTTCAGACAGAATGGGTTCTTGAATATCTGTGACAAATAGTCACTTGAATGTAATGTTAAATTTTATAACAAATTAGTTGCTTGCTAAGTGTACAATTCATTATGATTGTTTACTACTGTTTATGTGCTGTTACGTAAAGCTGACTAATAGACTGTCAGAAAGTTCATGTAAAGTTGGGCCAAACTTGTCTTGGGACTTAGAAATTGGTTAAGAATGTCCAGAGAATGCGGAATCAACAGTACTCAGACTGTGTGCCCATGTAAATACAGCTGGGAAGAGACCCCTACTTGCAAATGAATAACACTTGACTCAGATGCAAATGGAGCTGATTAAAGAAACACAGCTTATTATTGTAAGTCAGGGTTGCTTGTTTGATAGCTGACAGGCTGCATCTGGTCCTCAAAATTAATCTATCTGGCCTGCCAGCTTTTCCTTGGGAGATATGAGGGTTGGCTGGTGGGGCAGCAGGTGCTGGCTGAAAACTTGCATTTATTTGTGGTCAGATCCCTAGAGGTTTTATTTGAGTTTGCTGTTGCTGTGTTTACATACAGAGTGGTTGAGAGGGGTGCATCTTGCATTTCTTTGTGAAGCCTGGCATTTGAATCTGGGAGTTTCTGCTGCCACAGGCCACAAATTCCCAAACTGAAATCTGTTTTTATGATGCTGTTAGGTTGAATAACATGTTTGCTACGTCCATAGTAGGAATAAAGTACTGTTGGCTAATTATGGTTATTGACAGTGCTTGCATTTCATATGTATTTGGATTCTGGAGCCAGACTGAGATGTTAACCACATTACCTGCTTTTAGAAATGTGTGAACATAGCCTTTTGCAATAAAAAGATACACTATGTGGAATTAGAGAGTTAATGAGAAGTTTGTGATTTAGCTTTTTGGACTTGTTTCTGTTTTTTATTTCTTCATATCACACAGCTGAGGATGTAAAGCTGGTAACTTCCATTGGTTTTCAATAAGCATTATATTCTACTACTTATTAATAGAATTATTTTACTATAAAAAAGAAAATAGTTCCATCAGCAGGAGTGCCCTAAATCAATTTCATTATTTAGGAATTGGTTTTGTGCTGCTGAAATTCTTTGCTCTGTACCACTTGCCTTTTTTGCTGTGATTAACCTTCTCTTCTTGTTTTTCATTATGGAGGATCTTGCTTTAATCTGTGTAGGCTCTGAAAGAAGTAACTGTAGTCATCATCTATCACTGTTACAGTAATCTGTAAGCCGTTTGTGTATTTTTTTTTTCCCATGAATTCTGAATAGTTGAGTGTATAAGGGAAATTGAGAAGATTCCTTGCCTTTGTGTTTTTGACATTACTTTAAACTTTCTTATCCTGATTGGTACCTGAAGTCTGTTCACCAATGTTTATTTGGATTACTCTTAAAGATAATCCTTGAAATTACTCTAGAGAACTTTAAGAATGACTTAATAACACTTTTTAAAAAAAAAAATAAAAACAAGGTAAATGTCTTCACATACTTGGCACTGGGGGTATTATAAAATATATAGAAATACGCTTTCTCCTGCAGTTACAACTGTCAGATCTGTAATGTAAGTCAAATCTTCAACTCTCTAATACTTTATTTTGTCCGCAGTATGTTCGAAATGAGGGGTTTAGGAAGCAGCAATAAGAATTTTCATTATTTTGTTCGTTTTAGTGTCCTTTTGTTGCTTCTAGGTGCTGACCAAAACTGATCTAAAACACAGAAACATGAATTTTGGCCACCTTTACGCATGCAGCATGTGTGTTTTATTACATTACAGTGTAGCCAAAGTTAGGTGATTAATTGTTTGGAATCCAGAGAGGAAGGAGATATTCATACCTTGTGCATTTATGTGCATTTGTCAGCAGACTTTGTTTTGCTTCTAGTTTATGTAGTCGTACTTCTCTACATTCCTCCTGTAGCTTCGACCAAGCCAAGTTTTTCATCTCTCCATAACTGAGTTGCTTAGAAACATATTTCCGTTAAGCAGAAATGTACTTACTGATCCTTTTCCAATTTTGTTATTTACGGTATTAACCTACAAGGAAGACTTTAAAATGATCCTCCTTAAAAAAAAAAGAAAAAGTTATACATGGAAAGTTTTATATCTCACACATCTTTGTCATTTCAGTCACTTTCTCTACCATCTTTTGCTTTCACTTTTCTCAGCTTCTTGAAACTGAAAATGATTTGAGTTCGTTAAATTTGAAATACAGCATTTCTTATAAACCTTTAGCTAAAACTTACGGATTTATCCAGTCCCTTGTTGCCTTAATCAGGTGACAAAGCAGCATGCACTGGGCTTTTGCCATTTGCCCTGTTGTGAGTTTAAAGACTTAAAATGACTTTTAAGGGGGGTATCCATTGGTACCTCAAACACCTGCAGCTGTGGCACCATTCCTGCTCATGCATCTGTAAGATCAGTATTAATTTCTCTCCTGGTGTTTGCTGCTAGCGTTGGATGCTATTTCAGTGCATCTGGATCAAACATTCTTCTTTTTCTTAGCAACACACCTAGTTTTCTTATCAAGTCTGTAGACTCCCTTTGCTGATTTTGATGGATGGCATTCCATATTGATAGGAATAACTTAATAGTTATTCCAGTAGGCAGCTGCTCCTTTGGTATGGTTTTTCTCTTCAAGGTCAGGGATGATGGTGCTTTTAGACCAATCTGCCAACACTGCTGACCTTGCTGTAATGTATGTTTTTTCATTCTCTGAAGTTACGATGACAAAACTGCTGCTGTTTTTTCAATGGTGTAAGTGGATGGTAAGTCAAAGTAAACAGTTATGTTTTCTGTATTTCCCATTTGGCTGAGCAGATCATGACCTTTATGTAATCCAGTCTTATACAGCTGGAATGCAGAGGTTTTCGGCAAGTCAGAAGGTAGACGTTAGAAGACCGAAGTTCTTCACTGTAGGCAAAAAACCCCACTGCTCATGTGCATTAGCTGTTACTACTGTTCTGAAAGTCCTGTTGTGCAAGGTTTTGTGCTCATGCTGTTCCTTCAGTTTTCATTATAATAATTCCCTGCTTAACTGGGGCTTCCACCTCTTCTCTAACTATAGATAAATCCCACAAAATCTGTAGCTTGTTTTTCTGTTTCTTGAAAGAATCCTATTCAGGGTTCATTGAATGATTTGTCCATCAAGTTGGTGTATAAAAGCTGATGTTTTGTTTTCATCTTTGCATGTTTGTCTCTACCATGTATTTACACCCAACCTCACAGTTGTTACTTCTTTTTCTGCACATGGTGTCAGCGTGAGTCTGAAACTTGTGTTTTAATGTTCCTTGTGTTTTGGTACAGTCCTTTTTGCACTTGTGTGTCTCATCTCCAAACAATCTGCTATTTCAATCCATTTACAAGACCCAGGGAGACTCATAGAACTTGTAAAAATCCTGGTAGGGTTCTCTGAAGTGTGGTACAGCAGAGCTGCCAGCAGCAATGCACTGTCAGCCTGGTGTGGCTGGGCTTCGGGTGTGTTTGTGCTCCATCCTCTCTAGAGGGGCCTCTTGCCACCCAATCTCCAGGGGAGGATGGCCAGGAGCTTAACACCACCCCTGATTTTTTACTTAAACTACTTGGGCAGAAGAAAGCTTGTTTTCCTTTTCTGATAACTATAGTAGCTGAGTGCTAGAAGTAGAATTATAGTGTCAGGTTTTTCTTCTCCAAAAGCTTACCTTACCCAGCTTTTGTGGTACCAAAGTACAACTAAGTACAGTTTCCTATCGTAAAATTCCAGGATCTTTTTTGGGTTTGGCTATGTTTTTTAAGATATTTGCAGGCCCTTATCATGTTGATGTTACTTTTCTTAGTATTGCTGTTTGCAAAGTTGCTGAAGGAACTCTTTGCTGTATATACAATATATACGAGTTAGGTTCGTTCTGTCAGTGCCTCATCTTTCTGTGTGTTTTGGGTCCTCAATTTTTTGGTGAAGGCTTATGTAAAGAAAATAATCATGTTGCCTTGCTTTTCTGTGATACTTAGATCAGACTCTTGTTTTACTCCTTAGCGATCTAACATTGACTTCATCATGTAAGTGAAAGGAAGATGGATATGAAGCTGAGGTTGAACATCAAGCTACCACTTAGTTTTACAACCAAGCATATCATTATAACCCAGAAATAAACTATGCACAGGGCACAGTACAGGCAGGGTAAAAAGCGAGTGCAGATTTGTAGGTTTCTGTTGTTGTTTTTTTTTTCCCCTATAAAACTTAAGGTATCTTAACCTGCTTCCTAATAATTTCTGCTGCAAGATAGTAATTACCCTTTTACTGAATATTTTATTTCTTCTGCTAGCTTTTCGCCATCAGTCTGCTCTGTATGTTAACACTTGCTGTAACGCAAGGAATCTTTCACCCAGATTTTGCCTGGCTGGGAGGAGAACCACTTAGGACCCTCTTGCGCTCTTTTCTTAATGCTCTGAAGAGTGTGAAAACAGCTCTTGTATGTATACTCCTGTACAGACAGCTGGTTGTTGCATAACACGAAGAGTTTGCATTCAGTGGGTGAGACCAAGTGCTCCCGGGCACATTAAATCTCTGTTGGTCTGGGGGAATGAATGTGCTTGCCATCTGGGATGGTCAGCACAGCCCCTTTGTCTCTGGCTGAATTAAAGCAAGCACCTGCCCATCGGGTGGCAGCATTTTGTCGCCAGCCTGCTGCTGCTGCTGGGCTGAGCAAACTCTGATTTCTCATAGGATTTGAAGAGTGGCTAAATCTCATTATTTTCATCTGGCTGTTTTCATCACTTTTTGAAAAGGTGGTGGTATATTCTTCATAGATCAGGATATATGCTGAATTTTGTATTGCTTCTGGCTGCTTAGCAGTTACAGGTCTCTGAGGGTAGTATTGCATTCATCAGTGCCTTGATAATTTGGAAGACTTAAGAGTTTTCATTTTAATCCTTTTGCAGGAGCACACTCTGTCAATAAATCTGGGGTTGGGAAAATTAGTTGTTAAAGTATTTCTTTTAGTTCTGGTTGATGATGTCATAACCACCACCTGTCCTTTATTTCCTCCCTCATCCCACAGAATATTCTGACACATTTTGCAAACAGTTTCCTATCTCCTTCCCAACTCATCGTGAACACAAAATGTCCTTTGTTTAGTGGGAATTGTTCCATAAGGAGCAATGGCAGATGGTAGCCATTTGGCTTTAAGGGTTACACAGGGGAAAAAAAACTAAAGGAGAGGAGAATTATAGGGACTCCGCTGGCTTTATGAATAGGAGTTGGTTATCACACTCGAAACTTCTGTTTCTCGGATAATATGAAACAGAGTCTTTTCTGAAGGATGAGCTTTAGAACTTTTCTGTTTAAAAAGATCATGTTTAGCTCAGTATAGTGTTTTTTTTAAAGCAAGTAATATCCTTGTGTTTTGTATATTCTTAACTGGAAATTCTTCATTTTGTAGAATTTGAATGTCAGGTTTTTCTTCTCCAAGGTAAACATGTATCTGTCAAAAAGGGTTGGGAAGAGGGAACAGCACTGGCAGGCATTAAGTGATTTGTACAGGAAAGGCTGTGGCCTCGAGCACTGTCTTCAGTTCTATTTTTTTGTTTGTTTCCTTGTGTTCACAGACTTTTTTTAAAAGGAAGGATAACTTTATAAAGCAATGCAAAGGAGCTTTGTGTTATTTTAATACCTCTCCTTGAGTTAAAAATGTCTCATCCTTTATAGCCCTTTATATTGGTAAAGGTTATTAAAATCTTGAGAATGTCAAGGCTGATAGATTGGAAAGTATTTGAGGTTATATACTTCAGTAATAAACTCATGGGGTATGTTTTTTGTACACATAATTTTAAGCCTTTCTTAATTGAGTATATTTCAGTTCTAGTTTCACTGACTTATGTTAACCTGGAGACTCAGTCAGTGAGGACTAAAGTTGTCTCAATCTCTCTCCGTAGTCTGACCTGAAATGTGTCCAAGATGCAAAAGGAGGCTCTTTCTACAGGGACCATTGTCCTGTGTTAGGTGAGTTGAAGATAAAGTAAATCTATCTTGATGTGTGTTAATTATACTTAGTCTGGATTTCTCTTCCTTTTTAAATCTTATCTGAAAGGACTGTCCTTACTAGTGAAATGTAAGTGCTAGCATTTCTATGGTAGCATTTTTATGCATTAATAATAGATGGTAACACTTTTCTAAATGTATTTGGTATCAGTGTGCCAAGTGAATGGCAAGGGAGCTGTTAAGTGTTGACTAAGCAGTAAATTGAGTCATATGTCTTGTGTACTGTATTTCTAAAGAGCCAAACATAGCTGTGCATTCTTGTAAGACTGTCTTAAATACTCAGAGATGTTCAGTGAAGTAGCATGTACATGACCATAAACAGGAGTCATTTGAACATATAACTTAACCTGTTACTTTATACTAATACTAGTATATATTGTGAAATCTTGGTTGAGGTTTTCCATATTAGCTATTACACTGACTTATTCCTCTAGTGTCATAGCTGGGCTGTAGACATGTGCAGAGTATAAAAAAAAATTGCCAGGTGTTTTGGTTTTTGAAATATGGGCAAATTTTTTCTTAATTATTAATGTGTATTTCCTTGGGAAAACACCTGGTCATAAAACTGGACACTACAGAAAATTTTGCTTTTCTTCTGAGTTTCTTATTATACTTAAATGCGTAAAAAAACTTAGCTGATAATACTGGCTTTTCTAAAGTGATGAGAATTCTCTGTTTACTAGTCTTAATCTAATTCCTTGCACAAGTACTTGAAGTATGACCTGCAAGCACTATTGTTTTATTGACAGCATTGGTGAAAAGGTGAAAACAGTAAAGGTCTGTTTTGTTTAGAAAAAACCCAGTTGTTCAAGAAGTCACTTAGCTATTTATTGTCAAGTAAATGAATTGTTTGAAAGTAAAAAGCCAAGGCACTCTGATCGTTGTATCTTGCTTCTGTACTTAAAATTAATTTTGTCATTTTAGTCTGACATGAATAAAAATAGAAGAGTAGTAATAGGGTGTTACTGGTTCTTTATTACAGAGGTAAGCTTAGGTTCTTACGCATGCCCTCTATTTATTTTGGTTCTTGCTTTAAAAGCATAGGTCTTTGTTTTCTGCATGTAGCTTTTAGGGTGATATCATATTTAAATGCATGAATATTAATCACTAAAGATAGTAGGATACTATTCTTTGTTAAATTCTTCCCCTTCCACTATATTAAGTTGCTCTTAAAGGATAGTGATGAACTCAGTTCATCATTCTTGCCACATTATGCTCCGTCTTCTCAGTCTTACTCTTTGTTATAACATCTGTCCCTTTTATTTGCCTTCTGAACGTAGTTCACAGATACATTCATGCTGTGAATTTAAATGTATGCTTGCATTAAAAACTAGAAAGTTATTTTTGAAGCTTTGTGATATTTGAAATAGAGTGAGAATAATACTCCAGCAGGGGCCTAATTAATAATGGAGTAGTATGTAGTTGGGGCAAAATACTGAGACTGATTTTGTTCAGTACCACATTGGTGACCTTGATGATGAGACGGAATACAATCCCAGGCAATTTGCAGGTGATAGCAAGTTGGCAAAGGGGTGTGGTTGAAAGTAGAGCTTTATTCAGAAGAGCCTCAAGGAAGTGAAGAATTTGGTGAATGGAGACCTCGTGGAGTTCAACCAGAAGTGCAGTTTTGTACTCTGGTTGAAATAAGCCTATGTACCAGGAATTCCCAGACTTGGAATTGTGAATGCCTGAGCGAGGCTCCTTGCTGAGGAAGACCTGGGTGTTACACTGAATGCCAAATTGAATGAGACAGCAGTGTGGCGTCATTGCAAATAAGGCAGATTTCATAGTTGGGTATATGAGGAGGATGGTAGGCAACAGAATAGGAAAAGTTATTATTCCTCTTTTGTCAATGGTGATGAAGTTGTGCCTAGAATTCTATGTCCTGTTTGTGTCACAGTCTGTCCATCTCCTCTTCCCTGCCCTCCCAGTTTTGAGAAAATGTAAAGGGTCTGATGGTGGCCTGCTAAAGTGATTAAGAGACTGAGAGGATGTGATTTGCAAGGAGGAGGAGCTGGGCTTTTTATTCTGGTAAGGAGGAGGTTAATGGGTAATTGACTAGCCACCTACAACCACTTGAAGGGTGATTGAAAGGGATGGCACCAAAATTTCAGTAGTGGCAAATGTCATAAAAACAAATAGTGGTGGCCTTAAGGTGACTCAGGAGGTTCAGATCAGATATTGAAGAAATTTTCTTTTAACACCTACAGCTCTATATTGCAGTACTGGAAAAAGTTATTGAAGAGGTTGTGGAACCTCAGTCCTTGAGGGCTTTCAGTACTCAGATAAGCAAAGCCACAGCTGACATCAGCTGGTTGTTAGTTTGGCTTTGTGTGGGATATCAGACCAGATGACCTCTAGAGATCCTTTCCTCCAACTAATGCTTCTATAATTCTTTTCTGGTTTATAGCTCTTCCTTTCTTAGATTTCCCTATCTCATCAGGGCTGTCTCTGGGATGTTTGCTGTCTTAAGTTTTCTGTCTGGTGAGGTCCATATCAGTAGCTTTTCTGAAGAATTCATTGTTAACTTTGTCCTCAGCAGAAGTGGCTGTTCTCCATGTTATGTGTGTTTTGCTGTGAAGGGTGCACACTTAAAATACCGTTCCATCTATAGGTTCTTTAAACTAAGACCAGGACAGAAAGAAGTCACTAAGTGGTCACAGAAGTTAAAGTCCGTTGAACACAAGCATTTATTCATAGCTGTGTTTTCTTTCTCAGCAGTTTCTCTTCAGTAGTATCAGATTCTCTTCTTTGCTGTTCGGTCCTCTGGAGACTTTTAGTGCTGCAACTAGTGCTGCCAATATCTGTTGTGGATTTCTAGAATCAGTCTCCCTCCAAATAACATTTTTGTCTCTGTGTCAGGCTATTTGTTTGTACTTCCTTATTGTTACAGTGCAAGGACCCTTTCTCCATTATTACCCCTTGCTTGGAAGAGGAAAAACAAACACACACACCTGCTTAGAGACAGCCATATTACTAAAGGAACTCTGCTCACCCTGTCCTTTGCCACTGATGTTGCCATTGAACTCAACCTACATGACTTCTACAGTTGTTGTACTCTTCACCATTCTGTGGATGGCACAAGATACCATCTTGTTCTGGCAGTGAGGAGGTCCATAAGTGTGTTCTCTTATCAGTTAACACAGCTTGATGTGTTTGAATGTATGCCATTTCCCTCCAGCTAATGAATTTTTGCTATGACACATCTTTTGAAAGCGGGCATTGTCCAGGGACAGTGTTTTAATTTTAAATTTGCAGGGGTTTTTTTTGTTTGTAGTCATCTCCCTACTTAAAAGGTTAAAGATTTTCATCACTGAAAATCATTTTGCAGGTATTCTTTTGCCAGTATTTTCTCCACATTCAAGTACTGACCCAATTCAAAGCCACTTTCTGTGGGCCTTCTGCTTATCTTTCAGCCTCTGAGTGGATAGATGGCACTTTGTGTATGACTCAAAATTATCAGAGCTTTTATGTATCTAGATGTCTAACACCATATGATAGCTGTTACCATCCCAGTTAGAGCCCATAGTGGAACCTGTCATAAGTATTTAGCATTTGCCAGTGTCATTGCTATTTGCCTTGAAAACTCAACAAGAAACACACAATTCCATAGCCAGAGGTTCAGAGGTTTTTTTCACCTGTTCACTCCCTTTTACCTATTGGCCACTACAGTTACAGTCATTGATTCTCAGAAATTAACTTCTGTTCTTTAAATTGTGTGGAAAATTAGTGTGGTCATGTAAGCACTTCCTTCTTATTCCATTTCAGGTGAGCAAAATGGTAACAGAAACCCTGGTGGGCTGCAAATAGGTGACCTTGTAAACATTGACCTTGATTTGGAAATTGTACAGTCTTTGCAGCATGGTCATGGAGGATGGACTGATGGCATGTTTGAAACTTTAACAACAACTGGAACAGTTTGTGGCATTGACGAGGATCATGACATTGTAGTACAATATCCAAGCGGCAACAGGTTTGTTATATAGCCTTCATCATTGATTCTCATAGACTTCCTTTGCCTTCAGCGCTTGTCATCACTTGGTACCAGAAACTTTCTGTTCTCCTTTTGTGTCTGTTAAGATTTCTGTGAGAATTTTTATATTCCTTCTACAATGTGTAGTGAGGGCTTACCTTTAAAGATGCTTTAGCGGGAAAAGGAAGTTTGTTGCCTCTCTCACTTGGTGAAAATTTGAGTCTAAAATAAGGAATGACTTTCTGGACCACTTATTTCCAAAATGTGGTGGTTTAAGCAGTAATTTATTTTTTAGTTACAAAGTATCCCATGGTTTCAAGAGGAATGGTAATAGCAATGCATTGCAGGTTTTCAGGAAAATAGGTTAAGAGGACAGGTAACAAACTTTTTATGTTGGGGATCTTGTCTAATGTAGAGTGACCTTGACATGATGTGTATCTACTGTCCTATTATTCAAAGGAATGTTAGTTTATGTAAATATGGACCAAGAATGGGAAGTGTTAGGGAAGCTGTTACCAAAACCGCTCCCTGCAAGCAGTTTAGGTTTGAAATTTGATAAGCTGCATCCATGCTAACAGGATTCAAACCCAGCTCTACAGCTGCATCTGAGCTAACATGTCCACATGGTTTTGTGTTGTCTTGCTCTTAAGTATTGGGCTTATCTTTAAAAAGCAGCTGATGACTGGAATATGATTTCAATTGTATCTGGAGACTGACCTGTTCAATTTGTCCAGAAAAGATTAACAGTGCATTATTCATTCAGGCTTTCCCTCAATATATTGTTTGTTAATATTGCAAAGTAGTGCAAAACAAAGCTGTTTCCCCAGCTAACACAATCTGAAGGGATGCAAGTGGCTTTTCTTCTGAGAGTCATGGCTGCAGAGCCAGTGAGAGGAGCTGCTCTGTATTGTGATTTCCTCCCTGCCTTTGCCCTTTATAGAGATTATCTGATGCTTCTCATCTAGATCACATAGCTGAATGAAAATCAACCCCAGACCAAATGGCAGGTAAAGGACAGGTCACCATATTATATATTAAAATATAACTCGGCATAAAAACAGCTAAATGCCTCTAAACCAGTAAAATTTATAGTATAAATTAGGATAGTTTGGTTAAAAATTGAGGTGTATCTAGGACATCCATTTAATTGAAGAGTATTTTATAACTGAATGTTGCAGCTTTGACCTAGAGGGGGAGGGGACAAAATTCCATGTTCTTCCCATGTTTTTTTCTGGCAGTCCAATCCTTTGTGAGACAGCTTGGCTCTTCCCCTTTTCAACCAGAGTTGTCTCCTTCTCTCCCTGGAAAAATTAACAAACTGTATAGCTACTTTCAGGACTATTATATTGCTGTCAGCTTGCTTCCCCTTAGGCAGGATATTTCTTCATTGCTTTTACAAATGTACATCTCTGAAGATTACTGTGGAAATATTCAACTAAAGAGCCACAGACAAATTTATGGACAAAAAATGGTTAACAACAAATTGCAGACAGTTTGTAGGCGTACAAGCAGACTCTTGTCCAACAGATAATTTTTAAACATTAATTTTGCTTTGCATGTTTAGAATCTACTTTAAATGATTAATTGTCTAGGTGGACGTTTAATCCAGCTGTTCTCACCAAAGCCAATGTTGTCCGAAGTGGAGATGCTGCTCAAGGTGCAGAAGGAGGTACCTCTCAATTTCAAGTGGGTGACCTTGTTCAAGTATGTTATGATTTAGAGCGAATCAAGCTTCTTCAGAGAGGTCATGGAGAATGGGCTGAAGCAATGCTTCCAGTAAGTAGTTGTATGTTTGGATTCATAAAATGGTAAAACTTGTATAATATTTCTAGTTATGCTTGGTAATAAATATCTGGAGGTTGTGGGAGTCAAAGTGATTTTCTTCTAAGTTAGAGAAAGTGTATTTCATCAAATGTGGTGTAATACTTGCTCAGATTTAGTAATCTGCTTAGCCTAATGAAACTTAGCTAAAGGTATTAGTGACTGTACTATTAAACAATGGACTTGATAAAATTTGTGACTTACTATAAAACATTCAGATTTCTAAATATTTTATTTTTAGTATTATTTGCATTTGATGTTTTCTTTAATGCAGACTTTAGGTAAAGTTGGTCGGGTCCAGCAGATCTATTCAGACAGCGACTTAAAGGTAGAGGTTTGTGGGACATCTTGGACGTATAATCCAGCAGCTGTCTCAAAGGTGGCATCAGCGGGATCTGCTATAAGTAATGCATCTGGTGGTAAGTTTGAAGAATAACCAGTAATGTATGTATGTCAAGTATTTGTGTTAATAAAAAAATGGTTAATAAGTACTAGCACATAGTTTGTATGCAAGGTTAATAATACTCAGGCTTGGGGTTTGGCTAACTGATGTTATACCTTTGAGAAAGATACAAGAAAAAGCTTGCAGTTGGTATGGAGATGTTGGTTGTTATCTTGATAAGGTGTAAAAACTCCAAATCGAATTTGGGTTTCTGTTTGGCCACAGTGCAGGGATGTCTTTGGAGGTCTGCTCTAAGGACTTTAAATGATTGGAAGGAACATTAGATAGGAATAGGGACTAAGGCATGAAGAGAGTGTCCCTGGCTGTAGCAAGCAGACTCCTTGTTTAATAGGTGGTGTGGGATAGCAGGCATAAGCGAGGGATCTGTTGCAAACGGTTACTCAGGATAATATTCTTTCCATAAAATTTTTGTCTTAAAATCTAGTCAGACATCCTTTGACTAATTACAGTGGGATTTTTTTTGGTGTCTATGTAATCACATTTCAGTTCTGTTGAACCTGGTCTCATTCATCTAATAACAAGACAGAAAGACTATCCAATTGTTTTATGTTCTGTTGACTGTTTCACAGATCAATTAAACTGAAATGTTTTTTCCTTTTTTTGGTCACAGCTAGTTGTTTTTTTCTCTTCACATATTTGCTTTAATGCCAAGAAACCTTTCTACATAGTTTTCTAGACTTTTTCCTGGGGAGGCATAAATAGAATGAATTTTCTGCAATAAAGACAGTCACAGTGGCCTTAAAATTAGCTATAAGAGTAATAGGACTTAGTGTTTCAAATCAGAGGGCAGGATATACCCAAAGTTAAGCTAGAAGACTAGACTTGTTATATCAATATGTAAATTCATGTTTTTACCTCGTCCCCACCCTTCTATATTTTGTGGTAGGCAAGCTATTTGTGGTTCAATCAACTTTGTTTTGAAGTGTCTGATGTGACAGTCTCAACTGTCTAAAGGGTATTGGAGTGCAGTGCTTACTCAGAACTGAATAATAACTTAGAGCTGTCATTTTGTGGTGGTTTGTGTATTACTATGTACATGCCTTCAGAAACATGACAAATTTAGCTGTTATTTTTCTGTTCTTCTGTGATTAGAATTGTAATCTTAATTGTCCTTTGTTTAATAATTATAGAGAGATTGTCCCAGCTATTGAAGAAATTATTTGAAACCCAAGAATCTGGAGATCTCAATGAAGAATTGGTTAAAGCTGCTGCCAATGGAGATGTTGCTAAAGTGGAAGACTTGCTAAAGAGACCAGATGTAGATGTGAGTGTTCTGTTTGGGGAGGACCTGTTCCGGGGACCTGTAATACTAAAGGAAATGAAGCTGTCCTAGATACTCCTTGCCAGTCAGTAGTGTGTCTGCATAGAAGTAGTACAGCTGGTTCCAGTGTCTTTTCTCCCATTTGTTGTCCTATGAAATGTGTTGGGGGTGCGTGAAAATAGTGCTTTACACCCTTTTTTGCCAGACACATCTTGTGTTCTATTGTCTGCCGTGAATTAAATACCTTCCAGCCTCTGTTTGCCAGAGTCAGGGCAGCAAATGAAACATTCACAATTAGTGAAGGGTCCTCAACTTCTTTTGTTTTGAGGGGAATAGAAAGGAGAGTAGATTTGGGGGATTTTTTTTGCTGTTATTGTGGGTTTTGTTTTTTTACTCCTGAGGTAGATCATCTAATCTGTTCTCTGTCAGATTCCTTATACCAACTTGTCTAATCACCTAGTACTGAAAAGTATAAAAGAAAATGCTTAAGAATTATAGGACTTGGTTCAGGGAACATGTTTTAAAATCACAATCAGATGTTTTTCTCACTACAGCAGTAGTAATTTTTGCAGATAAGAGACTAAACTCCTTCAGTTCTGAGGATTGATTTGTAGCTCAAGATTATACAAAACATGGTATTTTGGTCAGACTGACTCCTGTTGTTGCCATAAATTAGAAAATGAAGTTAAATGTACAGCAGAGCAGAGGGCTGGTATCATTCTGAGACCTGTTCTCAAAATCTTGCCTTTACAGTAGCTGAAAGATGAAAGTTTATAATCCAACTATCGTTAGGGTCTTAATGTTTGAAATAAATCCATTTCTGGCTGCTTTTCCTTCAATCTAGCTAATGTTACAGAAATAAAATAGAGAAGACGTAGGAGATCATCTATATGTGCTAGAAAGGCAGCTGTCTAAAAATTGTTCATTTGATGCTTTCTTATGCATGCTGTTGCTTTAAGTTTTCTAATACACTTGCATGTATACTGCTAAAGTGTCTCATAGCTATGTGTGTATCTTGCAACTTACCTCAAAGTATTGATATGCTTCCAGGTGAATGGACAATGTGCTGGACACACAGCTATGCAAGCTGCTAGTCAGAATGGCCATGTCGACATTTTGAAGTTGCTTCTGAAACAGAATGTGGATGTAGAAGCAGAGGTAACCTAAATATTTCAAAATACAGTTTGTGTCTCCAAGTTTTAAACTTTGCTAAATAACAATTTTATTGGAGTTGCCTTCTTTTTAAATGTCAGAGCAAGTGAAAAACTGTTTTTCTTACTATGATTATGTTCCCAAATTTGCCTCCTACTAACAATATTACAAAGGGTCAATATCTAATTCTTTAGCACCTGTAATTAAGTGAAATATAATGCTAATATAATAGAGCTGTGTAAGCTAGTATGTGATTGTAGCAGATGAAGCCCCTTCTTTATTTCCTTCATTTCAGCAGTAGAATGCAATAGGCCAGCATGCTGCCTGTGGCATTTGGAGAAAAAGATGTTGTTGGATGCTACATGTCCAACCTCAGATAATTACTGTGCTTCTTATGTACATTGTTCAGTTGGGAGACAGTTCTCCATTCTTAACTAAAGCAAATTTGAGCAGAAAGTAATAACAGTATCTTTGGGTATGAAATACCAACTCTGCTTCCAGTTTTTCAGGTGTGGGTTTGTTTTTTGTTGTTTTTTTTTAACTTCATCCAAAATGGAAGGAGTTCTTTTGTTTAGGTTTTTTTAGAATTATTGTTTGTGAGAAAATTATCTATCAGCATACCGTGATATTTGCATTTTGAATTTATTTTGCCTTGTTTACTTACACAGAATGCACTGATATTGCAGCCTTTGTTCATTTTGTGAAGCACAAGAAGGAGCTGTCAAATTTCTCTTAAGAATATAAATTAAAGCCTAACAGAATGCTTAGAAGTTAATAGTATGCCCAGTCATCACTTGCATAACTTAAAAGCAATTTTACAAGCTTGGGCATTTAGATTTATATTGTATTTGATATATGGAAGTTATAATATGTTAAAACGTTAATGAAGCAATGATGTAATTCTTGGAACTAAAATTGTTTTTATATTCACAGATACACCATTACTTTGTAAAGGTTTTCTGCTCAATTGTAAAGATGGCTTAGATTTGATGCAGTACATGCTTGCTGTGGTCTGATTTCTGTGAAGTAGTTTCATTTTAGAAGTAGTGCTTTCACTGCAGTACATAGCATATACAGTTACAAACTAGACTAAGCTGCTTTTCATCTGTACTATGGGATCAAAGCTGCTGTGTTAATCAAGTGGTGGACTGATATGTTCTTCTCTGGTATAAGGAAGGGTTAGAAGCATTAGAGAGGGAAGTAGAAGCTCTGCTTAAACAACTTCAAGATAATATATCTGGTAATCTGCTAGCAGTAGAATGGTTAAGAGTTCATGTTTGCTCAGGCTTCAGAAGTGTAGTAACACTAGCATTAAAAAAAATTTCAGGGATTTTATTTGAATTTTCAAGCCTTTTTCATGTAACTGAGTTGCTTAAGTGAAGATGGTAGTCTTAATTATATAATTGCATTAGTTATTAAAATTAATATATAATTATAATCAATAAATAGTATAATTACTAAATAATATAATATAATTAGATTAATCATTATATGTTTCAGGCTTTAAAAAATGCCAGCTGCCTATAAATTAGTGATATGAAGACCCAGCAGAGCCATCCCATTAAGCAGAGAGCAAAAATTTAGTCTGTTTACTTCACTGTTGTGGTCTTTGGCATGGAAGCAATGGATAAAAATCCTTACTTTTGCCTGCTTTATAGCTAAGTTGGATATATTTACATTTACAGTCACTGCTGTAGAGTATATACACTCATGATGACATTTTCTGGGGATGGCCTCGTTGTTGTCTCCTCTGTGCTTAGTCTCTCACAGCTTTATGTAGAGTAGAAGTGGTCTCTGTTTAGTCAGAAAACAATTTGTTACTGATAGGGTTCAGAAAGCCTGATGTAGATACTACATAGTAAAAATACATAGCCTTCTAGTCTGCAAAAATTAATGGGTATCAGTTATTATATTGTCAGTATTGACAATATTATATTGTTGACATGTATAGAAATATAGTGCTTTTAATATTTAGATTTATATCTAAATATAAGTCATAGGACAGATGCAAGTTAGTTGCTAGCTTTTCCTAGGTATATTAATATGCTCTTGTGTAGAAAATAGACAGCAGGATTCAGCTCCTGAGATTATTTGTTTTGATGCTGAGCTAAAAAAAAGGCACGTGCTTTCTTGGACCTCTTCTCATTAAAGTAGGAATGTAAACATTAAGATTTTATAAAATCAGGGGTTTGCATCTCAAAATTAGAATATGTTAAAACTATAAAATATTTAATAAATTATATGGGGTTTCATCAGTAAGTATCTCAGTGTACTTTGCAGACTGCAAATATGAAAAGACAAATTACTACATACCTGTGAAACAAAGTGCTCTGTAAATATAAATGTTGTAGCAGTTTAACACTACTGTCAGGCTCTTGATAAGTTTCACCTCCTAATGATCTTTATAACCAGATGAGAGATACAGAGAAGTTCCCCTTTCTGATCCTTTCCCCTTCCAAATGGGCAAGCTTTGGCTTCTTTTGGCTGTTTGTGTTAGATGAGCCTGAGAAGCAATCCTACTGTCTTAGAAGACGATTTCATAGCATGAGTTGATTTGGAAGGCATAAATATCTCTTGTTTTCAAAAGCTGCTGTTTACTGCACTGACTGTCTTGAAAATCGTATTCATATTTCAAAAAAGATATCTTTGATAATTAGCAGATAAGTCTTCTTACATCTTTTTTAAAAAATGCTGTAATTAGTCTCATTGTTCTCTTGTAATTGTGCAAATACAATTTATTCTAAGAACTATTAATTTCTGCATTGATGTAAAATATATTAGAAATGTGTTACACATAATAAAAATAACTTTTGAAAGACACTGCTGAAGGACAAGCAAATTGATAAGAGAAATTAAGCTCACCCAGGAGAGACATTGTGTGCACCCTTGAGCAGTCATGATTTTTTTCCTCCTTATAGTTTTCAGTATCTCTCCTTTGTCAAAATTAAATCCTATAAATACATAGTAATATTCCACTGTGCACAAAATTTTAGTTAGAAACTAGCTTATGGAAGTTATTATTTTATTGAAATCTGATATATATCTATATATATACACACCTCCCATTTTACTTTTAGCTTTTATATACTGTCATTAATGTTGAAATCACTTGATTAATATTTGAAAATGTTTCATGTAGTACAGTCCACTCTTACGGATGTTAAAATAACCCAAACTGACAAATTTATGACTTTCATACCTTAATTCTCAGTTTGGATGAAACTGAAACAAACTGAAATTAATCAGAGCTTTAATGCTGTGAATTATCATCATAGAATCAGAAATTCTAATTAATTTCAGCATCAATCCAAAATTTCCTTTGGAAAAGGTTTATAAACTGAAAACTAAGACACGTGTAATCAAACCTAATAAATACTAGCTTAATTGTATGAACAAGGCAATTCTCTTGTCTTATACCATGATTTGGAATCTGTAACACTTCCTGGGTTGCAGGAATGGTTACCCTGGGTTACCAAGTATAACGTGTTTGGGGGTTGGGTTTTGTTTGTGGGGGGTTTTTTGGGGGGTCTTTTTGACAGTGGTTGTTTTGTAGTAAAAACCCAAATGAATCTATTTGAGTTTCTGATGAACACATCACACAAAAATTCAGGGCAATGGTTGTATATGGTATAGAATATCATATGCCGTAGAATATGTATGTTTATATATGAACAGACTCTTCATCCTCTATTGCTGTGGTTTGACCAATTGTTTTAATTAGATATTTGAATGTTATAATTTATCTTTAAAGAGAAATCAGATATGCACAATTGTCCAGTTTAAATTAATCTTCTTGTTTAAATGCAAAGGAAATGTGGAATATACTGGGTCAAATTAATGTTTCTACTTTAGGACAAAGATGGGGACAGGGCTGTCCATCATGCAGCCTTCGGTGATGAGGGTGCTGTGATAGAAGTTTTGCACCGAGGCAGTGCAGATTTGAATGCTCGCAACAAACGCAGGCAGACTCCACTTCATATTGCTGTCAACAAAGGTCATCTGCAAGTTGTAAAGACTTTACTGGACTTTGGCTGCCATCCTAGTCTCCAGGTAAAGTAGACAATAATGTATATTTACTTTTTAATTACTGAATTTTATGATCTGCTGTATGTAGTTGCTGTGTATAGGTGATAGAAGAATAATGGAAAATAGGATTGAAGGGAATGGACCTTGTGAAGTTACCTGTACCAGCCTCTACCTCAGCATGTGATCAGCTGTAATAAAAATGCTATTAAATCTATTCGGTTCCTTGACAGCTAGATAGGCACCTGATTTATTCTAGCCAGTTGATGTTAATTGGTATTTTCACAGACTGTAGTTATCTGTAATTGTTAACTTTCTTTCCAGATTAATTCCCCCTCTATCGAATCCACAGCTGTTGGCTCCTTCTGCAAGGCACAGCTTTGCATTTTTTGGCTGATGATACTGTGGAGTGTTTCACTGAAAGAAAACCTTTTTTCAGGATTGACCTATCATTGATAAACTATTTAGCCAGATTCTCATTTAAAAAAATGTTCAGCCTTTTATCTAAAAAGCCCTTGTACATAGGGCCTCCAGTACCATAATTTCACAGGGAATTTTATCTTTAATGAATGTGGTGGAAGCTGTGACATAGGAGTGCAACCTCCTGTTGAGAAGGTAGAAGCCTGCTATCAAATAAGCAGGCATCCACATTCTGCATGAGCTAAACGCAGCCACATGCAGTATATTAGTAAAACAAATCAGAATGGGTAAGTTTGAAGAGGTTTGCAACCGAAAGAAAAAGCTGTAACGTTCTGGGCAAATCAAGATGCACAGTAATAACACATTTACCTCCTTGTTTTGCCATGTCAATGATCAGTGATTTTTCTGAAGCTGTATATCCACATAAAAAAAAATGAGGAAACTTTTTTTGAAATTAGTGAATATAGTGATTGTTTAGTTATCTGCTTCCACCTGGGTTTATAGGTACTGTCTTGATCTTCCTGAGGTTGAGCTGCTAGCCAGCTAACATCTGTCCAGACCCTATTTAGTATTTGTTGAACAGTAGTTACAATCAGAAATCTGATGTCTTGAGCCCAATAAAGGGTGACTGTATATCATATAATGATACATGGGTAGCCAAAATGGATGTGTCTGACTTTAAATTATAGAATTCTGTCTGGATTGAAAAATTCAGTAGAATGGTGCTATGAAACTCCGCCTGGAAAATATAATTGTCATTGAAAACAATGAACTTTCAGATTCTGCATGTGTGCTGAGGAACTCTGATGTGCAATTGTGAGCAGGCGATTGATTTGGTGGATGAGAGCACAGGGAAGGCAGACAGAGGCATGACTGGAATTTAGCTGGCCAGCACTGTACTACTCAAGCAAATTCACTGTGTAAACAGAAATATGTTTGTCTGTAAACAGTAGATTCAGGAAATATAATCGATTAAACCAAATAAAAGCTACATAACTTAGTTTTGGCAAACTGGTTCACACTGGTTCAAGTGTTTACATATTCTGGCACTTTTTGTTTGGCAGTTTTTGATTCTCTCTGTAAAGACTATAAAGATTTGGTTTTGTATTAGTGTATTGCTAAAATGTCCAGTTCCTGTGTTAGTTTGCAGCTGAGTCAGTGTCAGTGACAAAAGACTTCCTGACTTATATGGTGTTAGAATTTTACTGGAAGCATAAATCTACAGAGTTTGCCTATATAGCGGCAAGTAAGCTTAAATGGGTGTGTTTTCTCACTGTTAGTCTAGGGCATTCCTTTTCAGTCCAACCATTTGGGTCCTTGAATAAGTACTGTACAAAATGCTTCTAGGAATAAAAAGTATTTTTCCCTTATTTGGGATATTTGAAAAATAAAACATCAAGCTAAAAATATAAATTCTTCGCCTGTTCAATTATGCACTGAAATATTTTCATGTACCTCGTGTAATGTAATCTGGTATAAGCCACAACAAGTTTAAAAGCTTAATATTGCTTATGACGTTGGCCTTTGCTTCATGGAAAATTATCTGCTTCAGTTAAAACAAGAAATGTGCCTAAGTTTTTCTTGGACTGCATTTTATTTTAATTTGCTTATGCTTTTATTTCACACCATCTTTGTGGTATTGTCTTTTACATGGTTAATTGCTGGCTCAATCTTAGACTTCATCAGTCAGAATTCTCTGTCTTCCCCCTGTCTGGCTAGTCTCCTCTCTGTTGCATTAATTTTTGTTGCTGTCCTATTACTCATAAATTGTAACTTAGGCATCAACTCCATCTGGGTATGAGGCATGGAGAAGTTGATGTCTACACCAGTGTCTTCAGTACTATCTGATGCAAGGCATGTGTGAGTTCTGGTAGTAGTGTAGTCATAGAAGACTGGAGCCCTGGGTGGGTTCTCACTGAAGGGTTTTCAAAACCCAGAGCAAGACCAGAAAGTAGCTTGCTCTGAACTCTGCAGTATAGCGACACTTTTAGGTCTGAAGAAGCTGTTTTGTGTTTGTATAGTCAGTTTTTTTCTAGGGATATTTAAGCATCTTTTTTCTTCAATGTGGATGCATGTAGAAATTGATGTAAGCTGTTTCTGGTTTTAGGATTCTGAAGGTGACACTCCACTTCATGATGCAATAAGTAAAAAGCGTGATGACATCCTTGCTGTATTGTTAGAAGCTGGAGCAGATGTTACTATCACCAACAACAATGGGTTTAATGCTCTTCACCACGCTGCACTAAGAGGAAACCCTAGGTAACAATTGGGTTTTAAAGATTATTTTATCATTTGGAAAAGGAAAACAAGTGCATGGGAGGGTAGAATTATGGTATTCTTTCAAAGATCCTTAAACCTGCATGCAATTATTTCTTAAATTTTGATGTTGCTTAGATATGCGTCTTTCTAATACTTGGGAAGCCATTATTAGAATGAAACTAGTAGTCTGCTCAGTTTAATGCTGTATTCAGGTAACTCCAAATCCTTGGGAAATATCATGTGGCGGCTGTAAAATTTTGCCAATAAATATTTTCATAAGCAAGTTATTAAGTAAGATCTTAAGATAGGATTTGTAAAAATGTTTCCTCCCCCTTCTCAGATATTGGGAAAGGGATTTGAGTTTTTAAGAAGTATGTATTTGTGAATAATTATTATTAAAGGTGCCATGCAGTTACAAAGTGATCTTAGGATTGTTGCATTAGATTGTATTTGTTAGTACAAGAAACATTTAGTTTTGTTTTCTTAAAAGTATGTATACAAGGAACTTTGTATTTCAGCTTTTATATAGCAACTTACCTGAAAAAGTTAGTTTTGAGGCATAATTTTTTTGTGCTAGCTGCATACTATACATCTACATTCAATCTTTGGTTAAGATAGCTTTCAAAAACTATTGCATAGATAGAACTTAATGGAAAACTTGCTGCATTGCTGGTTGCTTATTACATTGTGGATAAATGGTATTCTTCAGAGCTGTCAGTCTAGCAAGACTTCAATATGTTAATCATGTGGTGGAGAATTTGGTGTAGTTTACATGAAATAAGAAGTGTCTGTGTTGTTTAACTTTAAATTCTGCTACTTTTCACTTGAGTGAAATTGGACAAATAAGGCTGTATATTAATGTATGGGAATAAAATCTGGGTTAGTCTCTTAGATCATAGCTGTAAAGACTGATAGTTAAAAAGTAAACATAAGCATTTATACATGTATATAGAATGGAATCACGCTTCACAAAGTAAAAGTAGCGGTTGGAAGTGTTGATAGGAACAATAAATGTGTTTACAGATTTCTACAGTGCTCATAAAATGTCTATAAGAGAACGTGTCAAGGACCTAGTGAAGGGAGCTTATTTTTGGCATTCAGGAGACAGTTCTTTCAAGTCTGACTTGGTAACTTACTCACTTAACACAAATTCTCCTTATTTACGTAACAGCATTAGCCAGGAGTACTGTTCCCTGCCTCCAGTTACCTAGATGGGGTATTTTGGGGGTTTTGGTGGTTTTTTTTTGTTTGGTTTTTTTGTTTGTTTGTTTGGTGGGGTTTTTTTTGTTGTTGTTCTGCAATGCTTTCCTTAGGCTCTTGTGAGAGGCAGGGAAAGGGGTGGGGGGAGGGGGTGGTGAGGGAAGCTCTTCATAGGGATGCTGAAGATATTTCTGTGTGTGAATGTTTTAGGAGCTGCAGGCTTTTTCTTTGATGGAGGGATCCAAATTGTAGTTCAGACTGTATCAGTTTGACAGTTGGCAGCATGCGAGGCATAGTGCAATTTTTCCCAGAGCCTTCTCTCCTTTACAAAAGCTTTTACTGGAAGAATAGGAAAATGTTTCCAGTATTAGTGATTTGAACCCTGTGTTGGTCCTGCCCATGCATGGGTTTTCACTTGCATCTAAAACAGTTAGATATCTAAAGCTGTTAGGTATCTATTTTTTTGGTTGCAGTTATATCTGAGCACTTCTGAAGCATGTAAAAAGAGAGAATCTTGTCTCCATCACAGAAGTAGTAGTTTTATTTGTTCACAGCATTAGATATTTTATACATCAACCTGGGAAGAAATTAATGAAAACAAAAGCAGAAGAAATCTTATTTTGAAAATTTTTAAACTTTGTTTTTGTTCTGGCCAAAAAATTATTATAATAATTTGATTAATTTAGGAGTTAAGTTTTATTTTATTAGGATTTTAGTGATGGTCACTTATTTCATTGATTCTGTAGTTCTTCTACTGGCCTCTTTCTGAATGAAACCAAAGGTTTTATATTTGCCACTTTGTTTTTCTAATCTGATAAAGAGCAATGGATATTACCAATCTATTAAATGCACTAAGCACCAGCTATTTAAATCACTGTTAAAAATAACCACTTGAACTTTAGCTTGTAGCTGGTATGGGTCACAAGCAGAACATAATATATTCTGCTTGAAACCTTACTTAAGGACCTGTCTTTCCTAATCTAAGCTTTCCTGCTCCACCTAAACTGGAGGTTTTGTGGCTTCATGCTGTGGTGCCTTATATGGAATACAGTGCACTAAATTCCCCTTAAGGTCAAATATATAAAGAAATGTTATTTTATAAAAGTTAAACATATATTCGTATATGTATGTAAGTGTGTATGCATGTGTGCATAAATATCTACATTTATAAAACTAAAATACTTACTATGTATGTAAGTATTGTTAAAGTTCACATCCATCTTCCTAGTTACTGATAATAAAATAAATGCATGTGTTAAGTGCGTGGGTACCACAATAAAGTGAACTAGATTTCTACAGAATTTTTTCTAGTTGATATCAAACAGGTATTTGGAACCAATTTCATCTTCAGTGCAATACCTATTCTGCTTCTTGCTTGAGTTCTGACCTTTCCTAAGAGTAGGGAGATAGATCTCTAAAAAAACCAAAACAAAACAACACACAAACTGTGCTGAGGAGAACATTTGGAGGTTTTTAATTTTTCAGATGAAAATGAATGCTTATATTCTATTTTAAACATTTGACTATTAGATAAATATTATAAGAAAGAAAGCATTTATGTCAAATAGCTTAGATATTTCTCAGCACTTAATCTTCCATGACAGTTTGGCAGTGTTTTCCAGAAGTCAAGGTAAAGTGTGTTTTGGAGACCATCCTATTATTAGTGGATTATTTCTCCTTTTAATAATTTGCTCCTGTTCATACCTTGTGAATTGGTATAGAAACAGAACTTTTGGTTTTCACGCTAATGTGTAATGTTGAAATACAGATTGGATGCTACTCATTTATGTTGTAGGTAGCTTTAAACTCGTGCATGGGAGAAGGAGCTGAAAAGAAATTTGAAATGAAGTGTGGGGAAGTTCAGATTTTGTTTAATACATGGGTTTTTGTTCATGATTTTTAACTGAGCCAGTCATATTAAAAGTGCATTTATTTTGGACTTTTTTCAAAGTACTGTGAACCTCAAAGCTTAGCAGACTTTGCCTTTTCAGTGTTAATGAGATTTTTCAGACAGAAAAAAGGAGAGTAAAATTTGAAAATATTGTACAGATTGGTTATTTTTTTCCATGTTATCAACTCTTGGTTGTTTTGATCTATTCGCATACCTGTGACTTCAGATTTTTGAGCTGAAGACATGACTGAAGTGTAGGCGTATTTTATATCCGTTGCCCCAGTTAGTTTTAGATTTGCATTGTATCTTGTGAAGAAAGCTTTATTCACACTGTAGCTAGCATCTTAAATAGAGGCTGCTTTTAGAGCTGACCTGACTCTGCCCGTGCTTACGACTAGTTCTTCAGAGCAATAAATTCTGCTGGACTTTAAATAAAAAAATTAAAATAGTCAGGTAAGATGCAGATTTCATATCTTGCTGTCCAATAGCAAGGAATAAGTCATCTTTGTGTTCATAAACTAGCAAGTAGGAGGTTGTGGTTTAAAATGGAATTATATTTTTTCCCCATGCTTGTCTTATTTAGTAGATCTCCTTGTTTTTAGACTTGCAGATGGTTTGAGCTGGTTGGCAGTGGAATTTTTAACTGTTTTTAGTGATGTATTTGAGAGATGGGGTTTCTCACCTGTACTTAGTGTTAATGAGTGTTTCAGGGACTTTTCTGTTATATTGCCATGGAGGTCCTCACAGAGACAAGTTGTGAGGTAATCAAAGAGTTGTACAATTATTTTTTAAGACAGTAAGAGGATTTTTTGCTTTCAGATTTGCAGTTCCCACAGTAAGTGTAGGTTGAAGCTTAGTTGAAGCTGAACGCAAAAAAAGCATGCTCCTAAAACCCCTTATTAAAGTATTATGTCAGAAAATGCTTTGAAAGAAGGCTTTTGTTCAAGTTGATTTGGAGAAAGAATATAATCTCCATGAGCAGACCTATAATTAGATGGCAGATCAGCCTGTAGCTGTTGAGGTCAGTGACAAATTTATTATCTTTAAATAGTAAATAATATGCCAGCATGTGCAGGATGGCAAATACAGTTCCTTCCCTGTGGAGTTTCCTCCCTTGTGCAATTAAAAAAAAAGGGGGGGGGGATGGCGGGGCGGCACAGAAAGAAAGGTGCCCCGAAAGCAAACTTACCCTCCGTTGCCAATACTGTTCATGATAGCTTCCTTTTGATCAGGTTTTTTTGGTCAGTTCTGTTACAAAGGGCAACATACTTGAGGAGAAATACAAGAGACAATAAATCATTGGAAAATGTGTTTATTTCACTGTTTACCTGTTGTCTTTATAAATGTTGTAAGAGATCAGTTTTCACTGAATGTGGACAGAATGTTGAATACCAGTAGCTGTTTGTTTACAAATAAAACCTTGAAATTTTGAAATGCAGAATTTGCTACACTCCTTGTTACCTTCCATCTTTAAGGTGCCTAGAATAGTTGAACTCAACTGTAGAGAGGACTACGTAATTACTCTGAGCAGACTTCATGTCCAGTTTTAAAAATAGGAGAAATCCTGTAGTGATCAATGCATAGCTACAGCTGGTTGAAGGGGACCAAATCCATTGAAGAGGTGATTTGGTTCCATTTTACCAGCTTTAGCAAAGCATTGGAGTGCAGGAAGGTTATAATTCAGTAATGCATTTTTAAGTACGTGAACAGTTCAAAAAAACATGCGGCTTTCTTCTGTGTTACATGTTTTGTTTCTAGTCAATGCAAATTTAAATTCCTTCACTAATTTGGAGACGGCAGAATGGAAAGCTGTATACCAGCAAGGCCTGTACAGTATCCAGGTTTGTTCCTTTCTCGAGTATTTCCTCGAGGATCTTTGGATGAGTCTCAAATCAAATTATAATTATCA